GTCCGATCTCTTCGTCAAACCATGTCAAACTATAGAGCCTAGGGTATGGAAAACTATCAAACCCTAGTAGCTCGATTAGTATTTGTTGATATTAAACTCAACGTTTAAGATCAAACTGACACTCGGTTTATCTTATTTACCTTGGCCAAGGATTTTCAGACTATAGTTATATCAAACAATCTTATGACATTAACCCCCTATACTGGGAGAGACGAATCCCATCTTAGCATTTTAATATCTACTTATATCTCTGGATGCACCCAACAAGAACCGTTATGCACAAGTCAATGAGAACTGTGGTTAGGTAAAAGTCTAAGTACATGGATGCACCCAACAAGAACCGTTATGCACAAGTCAATGAGAACTGTGGTTAGGTAAAAGTCTAAGTACACCTATACTGACATGTAAGATATTGCACACTGTGGTTAGGTAAAAGTCTAAGTACACCTATACTGACATGTAAGATATTGCACTCATGCCTCGGGTCAAAAGACTACTTTGTACTATATCACTTGAGAACTTCATCCATGCACAGAAGTATTAAAAAATGTGAATGGACGGAACTCATGTCCCAACTTTATCGTAAGCTCCTCCAACACCCTCCCTCTCTACTGAAACCTTTATCACCACCTCCAGATCCACATCCGCTGCCTCGATCGAATTACCTACCACTACTTCCTTCGTTAGACCCACCATTGTCACTAAACCAACCACAATTGCCATTGAACCTAGCTTCTTTGCCTCCTCTGACATCATCTTTGGCCCCTACTACTGAAATCGCCAAGCTCGCTACAATCACCTTCACCAAAATCACCTCACTATTAATGTCGAGCTCATCTCAATAGCAGAAGAAGGTCTTTTAGTATTCGAACTCCCCGTCTTTCTTTAATTTCCTTGCATTGACAGAGTAAAGAAGAGTAGCAGAGGGGGGGGGGGGGAGAGTAGAACTTGGACACTTTAATCATTTGATTTAACCAAGTATTTTTTATGTGAAGAGTGGGAGAGGGGAGGAGGGCTATGACGCCGCAGGGTTCATACAAGACTGCAGTCAAAGATGAAAACCGGATTATCAAACCTGCCATGCACCAACACCGTGTAACAATATGTTTCACCATCGCAGTCACTATCTCTCTAGTAGAATCAACAAATAGGTGAAGGTACAAACATGCAAATAATAAAGAAATAGTACAAAGAAAAGAATAATCACAGAGGAAGTATAGGTAAACAACATCATCAAGGCCCAACTATAAATAAATAAGATATCTCTGAAACTAAAATAAATGTAGTATGTCTCATCACAAGAGTCAAATAAAGTCTCTCTAAGGCACTCATCCTCTACAAAATAAAACCACAATCTCTAGAGTCTGAAAATAAACAACTAAATGTGGAGCTCTAAAATAACTATAAATATAAATAACTAGATAGAATCTAAGATGTAATTTTGTCAACCTGCGACTCTCCGTGCGTCGGACTCGCTGCCTGAAAGGAGGAAAAACAATGAGCATAAAAGTGCTAGCGAGATCATCTCCACCGTCCCCAAGGGGAAGGGGTAGGAGTATATAAGAAAATACTATTAGTACATATAGCTATAAAAATCATTCATATAACTCTAAATGGAGATTGATATTTAGAAACCCACAACACGAGAATTAGTACATCGAGTAAAATAATCCAAACAAGAAAACCATCACGTATATACCATGTCTCAAATTGTGAATCACTAAATACTAATTCTGATCCTATGAATGAAAACAGTACAAGAAGAAAAATACTCCAAACCTCTACCAAAATGAACCAATGTCACATCTCGAACTACCCTCGGGTAGTTGGCGCAGTCATAAGGAAATATCATCCAACTCAAATATCATCATAAGCCATATCATGTATATCATGTATCCAAAATATACCCCACACTTGGGTAATCTAACATGGGAGCAAACTACATTGTGTGTGTGTGTGTGTACATATATATGTATACATATATACATATATGTATACATATATATGTATATGTGTGTGTGTGTGTGTGTGTGTGTGTGTGTATCCTTATCACATAACGATACTTTTGTAAGGTTCTCACATTCACATGTGGATTCAACGTCCTTACTCAATCGTTCTGCGGCAATAGATTTTATCTTCCATATTCCGGATGATGCATCCAGATGATCGAACCACGGAATAAAAGCGTATCAGCCTAATCCGGAAACACATCGATCATCTTTGAGTATTGGTACCGTCGAGGTCTCATTAAGGGATAATGTCCAAATACTCCTAGTGTGGTGCCACTGAGGTCTCATTATGGGATAAACGTCAACAACGAAACATCCCCAGCAGGTAAGTATGCATTATCATGTGTTATACCAACACCAATTAACTTATACATGTATTGTGCATCTCCAATATGCATATATATTTATTTAAGAATATAAGTCAAGCATTAGTGCACGTATCTTAATGTGTGTGTCCATATTTCATGTTCACCAACACCTCAGGTGTTAAACAAGTCATAAACATCATATTACATCTCAGATATATCGAGAAAATCCCTTGAAAACATCAAACGAAATTCGAAACATGCACATGCTTCTGCCTGTCTGGCAGTCAACCGCGACCTATGTGGCGGTCGACCGGATCGCGGTCAGTAGCCTGCTTGCTGTAAATTCGTGATTTTGTGTTCGTGCGTGTTTTTCATGATTCAAACTTGTTTAATTCGTCATAAAACTTGTGTAGAACATTATAAACACTAGATTAACACCTCTAAAGATTATTAAACACATGAAATGTGATTTATAGTATGAGATATCATATTCAAACCCTAAACATGCACGAAAACGTCGATAAAAACATCAAAACTCAGTTAAACCACGTTGTTATTTACTTTCAGATCTTAAATCATTTCTGGAAATTCGTTCTTAAGCTTTTAAACATAGAAAGATATGATCTTTATTCATATAATATAAAAGAATTGCTTTTATACTCAAACTTGTCGATTTGTCTTAATAAAAATCACATAAAAACTCATTAAAACCTTTTAAAAACTTGGGTGTAGGGTTAGCAGAGATGAAACTCGCCTGAAAACTTGGTTGAAAGCCTGAGAGTGCAACGTCAAAGCAAAACCCTAAGCCACACGTCACCAATCCCGACTACACGTCGAAAATTGCTTCACAAAGCTCTTGGAAACTCAAAATTTTGATCTAGGGTTTAGGGGAGGAAAAGGTGGCTGCTAGGGTTTGAGAGATCTGATATCATATGTGCAAAAATGTGAAAAAGAGGTTTATATACTTCTGTGTGCAACTGGGCCTCAAAAGAACTCGTTTACAAAACAGACTGGGAAAACTGAAAAATCGATCCACGGTCGACCGGACCTTGTGCGGCGGTCGACCGGCCAACAACTTTTTCAGTTTGTGCAGTTTTCTTGGCTTGTGCATGTTTCGACTCGATTCTTTCACATGTATGAACTCGTTTGTACTCAAAACACTTGCTATCATACTCATACACCATTTAATGATATTTATCACGATAAATATCCACTTATCACAATTACTCACTTATTATTTCAAATTATCACTTATTAACTCAAATTTTATGGGGTTTTACAAGGACCTGCGAAGGAGATTATATAGGGAGTGAAATGAAACAGATGGGAGTTGGAGGGGTTCATGATAATTTATTAGAGGTATCAAGAGGAGCTCACTTGTTAAAGGTGTTAGTGCATGAAAAGAAGCTTTCCAAATTGTTAATTCTCTTCTTTATGAAATGTTTCTATCAGAGGGACATCAAAAATTCACTCATTAGAAAATCTAAGTTTTATGGGGACCACTTAAGGTAGAATTGGAGAAGTGTGAACTATTTTCTATCTTGGTTTGTGTCTCTTAAGCACTATAAACTACTGAAGTCTGAATAAAATGTTTCATCTATGCCTTTACATATGCGCACATACACGCCAAGTTATTGTTAACAATTTGATTAGATAAGGATTAATTTATTAATTTGATTAGAATTATATAATTAATTATTTTAATTTTTATTTAAAACCACTATAGATGAGATATAAACATTTTATGAAGCTGACAAACACTAAAAAAATTTAATGTTTAATTATAATCTTATACTATTAAAAATCTAATGTTTAATATAATTTTGTATTATTATAATCTAATTGGAGTTGCATTATTACATAAATAATAATTCCTACAGTATATTAAAACATTATACATATAAAAATCTAATACTATTATAATAATTAATTTAATTATTATATTAGATTTTATTTATTTAATAATCTAAAGAATAGTTATACTATAGTATAAACCTTTAATTAATGTGATTTAATAAGATTGTGAGTTATGATAATAGAATGGATTTGTTAATTTCATGAAAGATGAATGACATTTTTGGGAAATAAAAGTTTATTTAGTACCCCTCTTTTAAAGGGAGAATGATTGGTATATTACCACTATTATTATAATTATTATTTATTACTGATTGCTGATATTATTGATGATTTATTGCTTTTTAATTTGAAATCAATATATCCTCATGTTACAAATGAGGAACTAAACATTTAGAAAATTGCTAATGCTCAAGAAAATTGCTATAAAATTTTAAACTTAATTTCATCCTCTTATTAAAATCAAGAACTCAATATTAAGTTTAGTTTCTAGAGGCAGGTAAAGTATATCTACTTTTTTTTATAAATTTCTTATTAGTTTGATCACATGCATTATCCACGTGCTTTTTTGTTAGAAATCCTATAAAAGCACATTAAATGGTCATAACATAAATAAGACTAAAAATTGTTTAGATATTAAACTAAAATTATTTGCACATGCCAATATGCTGGTATGCTTTTTTTTTCATTTTAATCATTAATCCCAAAAAGAGCCTGATTTTATTTATTTTTTTGAAAAACAAAATTCCAGTTTTATTGTTTTTAATTTCTAATAGTAAAAGGATATCCACTAGTGAAATATAAAAGATAAATATTCATTTTATCCCTGCCATCTCCCTTCTCCACCACCTTCAAGAAATTTCCCCGTCAGCATCGCTTCCTGAAACGAGAAGCTCCCAGAATTTCTCCTCCTCGTCTTTAAATTCCGAACTCCACCCCTCCGTTTTCCCGCTAATTACCAAAAAACCTCGCCAATAAGTAAACAAAATCACTATCGGAATCCGCCATGGCCGCCGCTTCCTCTGCCTCATGCCAGCGCGAGTTCCTCGTCCCGCCTCCGAAGTCCTGGAAGAGTGGCCCTTTCTTTGCGTCGCTTCCAGTTTCGGTCGCGTCCAAGAACTTGAGGTCCTTTAAAACCCTAAAAGCTCTCAGATGGTCGGAAAACTTAGGGCGAACCAACGCGTTCTCGTCCAAGGCAGCGGAGAGGTTAGGGGGGAAGAGAGCGAGGTCGGTTGTGGTCAGATGCGAGGCGTCCAATGATGGAAGGGTAATCTAAATCTCACTCTTTTGCAATTTTTTTTTCTTAATTTTAGTGATAAGAGTGCATTGTTTCTGTTTGTGGATGGCTGTTGATGAGTCTACTTAATTGCCAATTGCTAATAGGTAGTCCAAAGATTGCTCATTTATTTTTTTAATTGTTTTTGTAGTGTTTTTTAAAATATTCAATGTATGTTGTATGGAAAGATTTTTTTTCCCTATGATTTAGTTACACTAGGAGACTCTGTGTTGTAAAGTGCTATAGATTAACGTGTGCTTTTACAAATGTATATTGAATAATAAGAGAATGTATTCTGTATGAGGCTGTTTTGATTGGATATAGAAATTGGTGGGTTCAAGTACACTTAAATTCCTGTATAGGATTGAGACTAGGAGGAGACTCATGGGCATCCTTTATCCACCTAACGTTCTTCTAAGATTCTAATTATTTTAAACCTAATGATTCAGTGATAGAGAAATTTTCAAAATAGCCCCATTCTCAAATTTAATCCCAAAAATTGACCCAGTCCACATTTAGGTAGAAAACTCGACCTAGTTTCTGGCCACATTCGCATCGTTGTCAGAAGCTGGGTCGTTAAAAAAAATTGAACTTCTAATTAGTCGGGGTTGGCAACCCCGACTAATTAGAAGCTTTTTCTAAAACGAGTGGGATTAACAAAGCTAAAAAAGTCGGGTTTCAAACCCCAATCAAAATGGTCGGGGTTGCCAACCCCGTTCGTTTGGCTGAGACTTCGCATCCTCTCGCTCGCCTTGTGGAGGCTAAGGCATAGAGTAGTCGTGGTTCCCAATCCTGACCATTTGGCAGAGAGTCTCACCTTCTTGCTGGCAAATATCCTCTCCTCGACCAAAATTGTCGCGTTTGGCACAAACTCTCCTGCTACACATATATCAATCCATAATTAATTTCAATCACAAATAAACATATATATTTATATTTATATACATCTATAACCAATTTCAAGCACAAACAAACATGTAATTGACTTACTAAAATTCCAATCATAAACATTTAGTCCAACTAGCATTTCAAACGTAAACATCATAAAACAAGCAATATCAAATTTTAGCAAATATTTAGATCCCTCTTTCCTCTCGCTCTCCCTCTCACTCTCCCTCTTATTCCTCTCCCTTGCCCCCGTTCGCCTTCAACATGAACTCAGAAAATCTCATCATCCGGTTGTGTATGAATTTGAAAGCGCATGACATTCTCTTCGATTAGAACATGTTGTGAACATCCGGCTTGAACCTGCTATGAACATCCATCTTGAATCTGCTGTGAACATTCGGCTTCTTCATGTGCACAACTTGAGCTCGCCCCGGTGTATCCTCGCAACCGTCGAAGCTCGCATCCCAAGAATCGTTCTTGTCGTCCATCACAATTTGCATAACGTGTCTTTCTATGAGCGGATTGAATCTTTCCTATGATGCGAAGAAATGCATTCCTCGCCCCTTGCTCGGTAGTCGATCTCAATGTGTCATGTGTAATAGAAGCAACATCATCGAGTTCTTCTACCTATAAGATAATCGAAAAGAATATTATTAGCAAAATAATGATAATAAAAATAATAATCACAAAATAAGTGTATATTTTGCCTATCTACTTACTCTCTCAATTGGACCCCTCGGTATGTACGCGATAGGTGCTTTATTCTCCCGATATATCCATCGGAAGTAATCCCCCGATACCAACATTTATACACATCTAGTTATGGTGCGTCACCTCTCTCCATCACTGCAGCACCCTCCTTAACTCCTAATTCTCAATGTAAGATCGACGAATTATCTCTCGATTTTGATGATGTGCTCTTTTTTGGGGATTTCGCTCTATTCTTTCTATAGGATCTAGAATATGTTATTTTAGGCCAAATTGTTGAAGCACACGATCAGGCACGTGCATTTCGACAATCTCAAAGCATACAATTAGGACTCAAGCATGCCATATATCTTCACAATCTCTGCAAGTATCTAGTAGTGAAGCTAAACTGAGTTCATAGGACATCCACTTGACATATAAAGAAACATTACGAAAATTTACATATCAGTAACATATGATATTTTGCTTGAATATAGTTAGATATCATGAATTTATACTTGTTCAACCTCCGTTTGATCAAGCTCGTTCTTGTAAAAATTTTCATGACCCTTTGGAGAGCTGTTTTAATATCGGGAAACATTCCATCTATTTGATATATAAAGGTTTAGCATAGATTGAAATAAATATAAATACATGTAATCATAAATATTAGAGATAAATATTAAAAACTCATATACCCATTGTTTTAAAAAGCGGCCTAAGCGGACTAATTTTCGCCTAGATTTGGTCGCTCGATATGGCCAGAGCGGCCAATCTACAAGGTCGGTCCACCTAGGCGGCGCCTAGGCACCGTCTAGGGTAGGTGGTCCGCTTAGACAGGCTGCCTAGCTTTTTAAACCCAAAAAAATAAAAAAAAAACTAGCCCAATCAAGCCCAAATACTAAAACCAGAACCCAAAATCCAAACCCGATTTGTAACTTAACCTAGCTAACCCTAACGCTGTTTCTCTCTCTCGTTTTGTCTCTTGTTCTCTCCCCAACCCAGCCGCCCACCTTCAACTTCTCCTCCACCTTTGTAACCTCCACTCCGTCCGTGTCTCTCCCTCTGCCTCCTCCACATCCCCTCCCCATTTGTGACCAAACTGTAGCTACCCCACCTCCAACTTCTCCCCCTCTCATCTTCCCGCGCGCTCCACCTCCTCCTGCATCTTCTCCACTCTATGGCCGGAGTCCCAGCGAGCCGCAACCGTCGTCTCAGCCACCTCCAACAGCCACAGCCACAGCCGTAGTAAGTTATGAATTTTTTTATTTTTAAACTGTTTCTTAACTTATTAATGTAGTTAGTAATAATCTTGTTCAATTCTAGTTTAATTTTGTATGAAAAGAAGAGTAAATAGTTAATCTTGTTCAATTTAGTTTAATTAATTAGTTTAATTAATTAATCTCGTTCAATTTTATTTATAGTTTCTAATTTTTGTTAATTTTAGTTTAATCTTGTTCAATTTTAGTTCAATTTTATTCACTGTTCAATTTAGCTAATTTTAGTTAATCTATTTCTATTTAATTAATAATTGAGATTAAAATCTCATTCAATTTTAGATATAATCTTATAAAAGATATTCAGAAAGACCAATTAGATTAACACTTAATAGATCAAGTTATGTGATTTATTTGAATCTTTTATTTGCTTTGTTTTAATTTTACTTCAATTTAGTATTTATGCATGCTTGATAATGGATCTAAGCTTATTGTTTATATTTTTTTGCAATTTTATGTGAACTTAATACATATTTTTGTGAAGTATTATAATTAAAGAAATTAAAAAATTATAATTAAAGAAATTAAAAAAATAAGCAAACGCCTAGGCACTGCTTAGGCGTTAGGCCCCAGCTCGAACACCTAGCCTACCTAGCGCTTTCTGCAACATTGCATATATCTGTATCCTAATGGAATCTGACTATCGAGAGCTCGAGTCTCCTTCAAATATGGTGTTCCAATATGCGATCACTTTCATGACCATATTTGCAACAAAGTGAGGCAACCTTTGAATTTTATATTTTGCACAAATGTCACTTTTATCATCTCCCTATAGAGAAGCTAACACTGCACTCCTCCAAGATAGTTTTCTATACTCCTCCAGATCCTCAAGAAGTGGCAACCATCTAACATGCACTAAATCCTTAGTTGAATCCGGAAATAGAATGATATCAATCATATGGAGTATATATACACGTGCATATGTCTTAACGATCACATCTATTGCATCCACCGGTACATTCATGTAATTATTTCATAACCACTCGAGCTTGATCTTACCACCCTTCATATTAGGAGCTTCACCAAGCAATCTTGACCTAGAAATTGGATTTTGATGAAAACCCTAGATTTAAATGTTGAAGAAGAGAGGAAAACCCTAGATTTCTAAATGTTGAAGAAGAGAGAAGGAAGAGAAATTATCCTAGAGATCTTCTGCAAACTTCCTTGTCGAATTTCGGCCAAAAATTAGATTTGGTGAACTCAGGTAAGCGGGAGGAGAGAGAGAGAAAGGGAGGACCAAAGGAAATGATAAAAGAAAAATGACACAGTGAGGGGAAGATGGGTCAGGTGGGTATTTATAAATGGGCGGGCCTCACCATAAGTAGTCGGGGTTAGGAACCCCGACTATTTCATGACTTAGCTAACTTCGATTCATCGACGCCGATGTTGCAACTCTCTGCCAAAGGTTGGGGTTCCCAACCCTGACCATTTTGGTCGGGGTTAGGAACCCTGACTACTTTGGTCCTAACACGGCCTTGCTAATTCTGCTCGTTTTAGAAGAGCTTCTAATTAGTTAGGGTTGCCAACCCCGACTAATTAGAAGTTTAAGCTTTTTAAATGACCTAAATTTTGGCCACGATGCTGATGTGTCCAGAAATTGGGTCGATTTCTCTAAATAAATATGGATTGGGTCGATTTTTGGGGATTAAATTTGGGAGTGATGCTATTTTGAAAATTTTTCCATTCAGTGACTACCTAGAACTTAGACAACCTATCATATGGCCCATATAGCATTTTGCTTATATGATTCATCTGTTCTTTTCGATTTAAATTGTTCTTCTTTAAAAATACCAAAAATAATCATTGTAAGTATCAACATCCAAAAATACTTTCTCCTATCTTAGCACGCATAGATTTTGGATTTGTAAATGAATATATTCTGGTTTCATGGATTCACTAGTGCAAAAGATGTTAGAGATTAATGAGAAAGGTATCAAACTTTACTCCCTGGATGATTACACCACTTCGAAGCTCTTTCAATTCTAAGAGTACTCATAGTTTTTAGGTTTTAGGTGCTCTCTTGACAACCAAAGAATCTGGATGCGAGAAAATTAAGGGGAGCCATGGCACAATTGTAGAATTGTCACTATTTTGAGGTTATGGTTTTGAGTCGTAGAAACAACCTCTTGTAAAAAATGCAAGCTACTGCATGCAGTAGACCACTTTTGTAGACCCAAAGTGGTCTGACCCTTCCCAAGACTTGTGGGAGCTTTAGGCACCAGATTTCCCTTTTAAATGAATTTGGATGCAGTGATTAAATTTGATGAATCTGGAAACAGCCTCTTCACATGTGGGGATAAGGTTGCGTACATCTAATCCTTCCCAGAGCCCACAATGGTAGGAGCCTCGTGCACTAGGCTACCTTTTTTTTTTGCATTTTATAGTAGTCAAGTTTTATTATTTGAACGACATACTAGTACAAACTTTTAAATACTCCCTCATTTGCCTTTACTATTTTAGCTAGCTTAACCATATGCCAGTATATTAATTTACTTGCTAACTTCTTTCTCATTTTATCTATTATTTTTGCTTCTTTCTATGTTTATTGGAAGTTACAACCTGCGATGCCTTCATCAGCACACAATAACCAAATATGCGATAGTAAAACCTCTCTTAGATTTCAACAGCTGAATTTGAATATAGTAATTCAATTTGATAAACTGCATCTAGCCTTTATGTTTGAGTTATATCTTTTAAGCAACATTTCTAGTACAAATCTCTTACTTATTCCTTTGTTTTAGAGTTCTATCTAGCTTAACTTAGTAATAAGGTGTACCCATAGTTGTAGCCTCCTTGCACCTTAGAAATTTCAAATGTTACTAAACCTTTGTTGTCAATTTTGTGGGAGTCTTGACATTAAATGAATATTGCTTCACTTTAATATTCTTATGTTGCCATCATCCTCATTATCACGATCATTAATATCATTTCATATTTTTCTTCTTCAGTTGTACAAACATTGATTTAATTTTGTCATTTAGAAGGAATAGTTACATTATATTTTCCAGGACTAGGGTACAAAGGAAAAAAAACCTTGATTGGGTAGCAAACAGGGGTGTAGTAGTTAGTAATTCAACAAACCAACAAAGTACGTTATCTTGTATTGTTTTCGTGGAGGCTTTATGATGAGGAACAGATGCATGGTGATCTGTTGAGAATGATTATTTGGATAAAACAAATATAAAAATTGCACTCTTTATTTAAGAAAAAATACAAATCACACCGGGCACTTCACATGCCTAATACTAGCTGCAATTCATATGCAAAGTTTCTCACAAACATTCCCCCCTCTAAAATTAAGAAGTAAAACCCGTTTTATGGGAATAAAACAAGATATGACCTTAACTAATAGATAAGACTAAATAACACATTCTAACAAAATAATTCTAACTAAACAACAAACTCAATTCTAACTAAAGATCTCAATTGAAAGAATAACCAAATCTTAGAAAAATAAAATCTTAACTAAAATCTTCATCATATCTTTTGCTGAATTTAGGTCTGGATCTGTCATGTACAAAATCTCCCCTTCTTGAAGAAACTCATCCTCGATAAAATTGCATAGCATTGATGGATGTTGAATTGTTGTATTGTCAATGTTGAAAGTTGTAGCAATAGACCTTTTCGGCTCTGATACCAAATGATGAAGTGTGCTAGCATCGTGATCTGTTGAGTATGATTATTTGGATGGAGTCATAAAACAAAATAAAAAACAAAAATATTAAAATTGCACTCTTCATTTAAGGGGAAAAAAGATGCAAATGATGGGCTTCACACCTTGACACTTCACATGTCGGCAACTCATATGCCTAATATTAGCTACAATTCACATGAATGGTTTTTCACAAATATTTTTCTCCTCCCCCTTTCTAAGATAAAGAAATGCAACCCCTTTTATAGGAATAAAATAAAATATAATCTTAACTAATTGATAAGATCAAATAACATATTCTAACAAAAGAGCCCTAATTAAACAACAAAGTCAATCCTAACTAAATATCTCAACTAAAAGAATAATCTTCATCAGATATTTTAAAAAAAATCCTAACTAAAATCTTCATCAGATCCTCTGCTGAATTTAGATTTGAATCTGTTCTGCATCAATCTTTTTTCTTTTTTCTTTTTTCTTTTTTTTTAAATCCTAACTAAAATCTTCATCAGATCTTTTGCTGAACTTAGATCTGAATTTGTTCTGCATCACTTTTTTTTTCCTTTTCATCTTATGTGGTGTCCTTATCATGATGTTTTATTGTGTTTATGCTATTGTAATGAGCTATCTTTTATTTTCTAAAGCATATGTAATTTGTCCTAAAGTTAAGTTTAGATTTTGGATACCATTGGACCAGTTAGTAAAGTCTACTTTATACTGCACTTCAAAAAATATTCCGTTAAGTTCTCTTAGATTTTGGTTCATCTGTTATTTACTGAGGATGTTCAATTTCAAATGTGTCGATCTCTATGCTTAGCATTTCTCAGTTATGTATATGATAGACTAAGTGAGTACATCACATGTTCATTTGTATCATTATTTTCATTTCAGATTACCCAACAAGAATTTACTGAGATGGCTTGGCAAGCAATTGTTTCGTCACCTGAAGTTGCAAAGGAGAACAAGCAGCAGATTGTGGAGACAGAACACCTCATGAAGGCATTATTAGAGCAGAAGAATGGGCTTGCACGTCGTATCTTTTCCAAGACAGGAATTGACAACACTAGGCTACTTGAAGCGACAGAGAAGTTCATCCAGAGGCAGCCTAAGGTAATGTGAGCTTTGTTCTTTGTAGCATTAAGTATTTTGGTCATCGATGTTTATAACAAGTTAACAACGAGTTATACAAATTATTCATATATGAATCCTTCATGGAACTAATAGGTCCAAGTTGCTCTTCTCACTTTCTACTTGCTTTTCCCACTTGTGATGCTCTCGTAATTGTAAAATGTTTACCAAGTTTAGTGACGCCAAAGGAATTGAGATTAATTGATACCATTTCTTCATTGGCATCTCATATACTATTTTGTTTGCCTTTCTTTGATACTTTGTGAACAGTAGACAATATAATTTCATGAAGCAGTTTTTTGGATATCAAACAGAAATTCCAGAGAGTGATCTTAATGTGGCCGATCCCATCTTTTGCAGTCAGTTTTGCTATGATGCCTGTAACTCTAGCTAATTATCCCTTTCCAAGTGCGATTTCTATGATATATATGGGCTATCATGTCCCCATGAAATGTGGTCAGCTGTTACTAGGCTCTACAAAGAATGGGTGAAGACAAATTATGAGCTGGTGTGCCTGTCAATCCGATATCAAGACTGAATCTTTGCTGTATATTCCTTTTGAAGGAAGCTATTGCTGGGAGGTGACTTCCGATAGTACCTTGTTACAAACAGCTTAATTGTGTCTGCTCTTTTGAAGTCAAGTATCTTTTACTTGTTATGAATTACGAGATTGTATTATTAAATATTGTTTGAATTCCTGATTAATGTTTTGGTTTTAGTCTTTACAGTACGGTCTATCATGCTACTTGCAATGCCATTGTTGATTTTCGCACACTCATGAGTTATAACTTTGTTTATTCTCTGCCTTACAAAAGTTAACATCATTACTAAGTAACTTTTAGTCAAGACTCAGTCAATAGCTTTACCATGCAAACTTGCTGTTTGTTGGGCTTCATTTTCTCAGTATTGTCATCACATTCTTTGTGCTCATAGCTCCTTTATATCTATAACTAATGCAGGTCCTTGGTGAGTCAGCTGGTTCCATATTAGGACGAGGCTTGGAAGCAGTGTTTCAGAGAGCTAGGAAATACAAGAAAGAGTATGGTGACTCCTTTGTGTCAGTGGAACATCTGGTGCTTGGTTATGCTGAAGATAGCCGATTTGGGAAACAGTTATTTAAGGACTTCCAAATTTCTCTTGATGCTTTGAAATCTGCTATACAAGCGATAAGAGGGAACCAGACCGTCGTTGACCAAGGTATTACCGATTTCATTTCTATGTGAATGCCTCTTGTTATAGACTTGTAGGACAATGATATATGAATTTCAAATTTGATTATGGTAGCCATTCTAGTGTTCTCCTGTTCATCATGCTACATGCTTCTACTTTTTCTTTTTTTTCTTTTTTGTGGTAAAACTTCTACATCCTTAGTTTTTGGAGCTTTACTTCACCTTTTCTTCATCTTTAAGTTTTATCTTCCTGTTGCACCTTTTGATCCCATTTGAATGTGAAAAGGAATAGGTGATAAATATTGGCTTAAGCGCATAGAGTTGGAGAAGATTAGGGAAATCTTTAGTTACTTGGTTCTCAAAAACAAGATGTTGTGATGCGATATGAATCTATGAGCATTCTAAAAGGATACGAAGCAGTTATAAACAAGCAAACAAACACAATTAAGTTTCTATAGATTTTAAGATATTTATAAGAAGTTTACAACCTAACATGCAATGCAATGCAAATAACACAAATAAGATTTGTGAAATTTAATTGAAAAATATAAAACTATAAAGTATAATTATAAAATAAACTTAAACAATAATTATAGTAACGATGGTCAAGCTCGTGATCACTTTCGGCATGTGAAAAATCATGTACAGTTTCACAATACCTAAAGAATTGAGAACAATCAAAATCAGATCCTTTGAAGTTGAACTTTGCAAAGAACTTCAAGTTACAATCTACCTAACACACCGAGTTCAAGATCAAGCATCCTCTGAGGAATAATGCCAATCGATGGCAGAATTGAGAGAAGACGAGACAATGACAAACTTGATGGATAATAGCACCTAGTCGACGATGAAGAAGAATCTCCGAAGGCCTCATTGAACTTTTTGAGGTTTGGGTGAAGTTTGCCAAGCTTCAATGATCATTAGTCGTAGGTGGCATGGGATGGTTCGCTAGAGTCGCACCCGTATCCGACACGTACCGTGCCTGTACCTAAACTCCTTGGACACTCTTTGCATATATGCTTACATTTATTTTGGCATGTACTCAATTATACAATGCATATTCTAATTTAAAACACTTGTCATACATTTTTTGGACATGTATCTTGATTGAGATTAATTGTGGAGGCTATGGATTTTGAAGTGCATATCTTGATTGCTATTAATTTATCATATTACATATATATGTTTATAGTATTCGTAGGTAAATAAAAGAGCTTGGGTAGAAACAAGAGGAATGGATACAACATGATATGGTCTAGCATGGCTTCCTATGTGACCTGGGTATTAATATACGACACTCCTTGGACACTCTTTAAATATATGCATATATTTATTCAGACCAGTACTTAATTATACAATGCATGTTTAATTTAAAACACTTGTCATACACTTCTTTGATATATTATCCAACACTTCACATCCATTTTTGCAACTCGTTGGATAAGGATTGAGTTCATTTTAACCTTAAGAACTACATTTAAAAAGGTCATCTATTCCTCTATAATAATGGGAGGACCCAAGAATTACTATTCATGCTACATTAAATGTTTACAGTAATTTACGGTAGCATTATTAATGCAGCATTTTCAAAAAAATATTATTGTACCATAGGCAAGATACTGTAGCATAGGTGGAATACTGTAGCAGCATTAAAAAAACCCCATCATTTTTTAAAAATATCACTGTAGCAGAGGTGGGGTACTGTAACATTTTAAAAATATTACTATGGCACTTAAAAATATATTACTGTAGCATTTAAAAATATACTGTAACAATTAAAAGCTGTATTACTATAGCGATAAAAAAAGGGAAGATCGTGCTTCGCACGGGACACACACTAGTTTACATATATAGCTTAGAACTATGATTATATATAGCTTAGAACTATGATTATATCCCATGAGTTTCAGCCATGTTGTCGTCCTTATATTTTACAAATTTGTCGTGTCCCGAACCCGTACTTATACCCGCATCTGAGATGCCCCTAGTTTAGTTCCACATCGATGGGAGAGTGAAAAATTAAGATGTTTATATAGCCTGAGACTCAAGTGTAACATCAGCTAGTCGATTTTGGCAGTGGATTGAGCCAAACAACGCGTTACACTCAGTGGGTCCCACGACTGGCACGCGTCAACGGGCCTGCGGGCCCGAGGTGTGACAAATGGTATCAGAGCAGTTACCAGTCTGAAATGTGAAACTAAGTGCTATACGGGGCTAAATGCTACACTACATGAGCAGTGGGAGCCACCTTTAGAGCCGTAGGAGCTACCTCTAGAGTTCACATCATGTAGCGATACTGGGATATGCCAATTGTCATGTCTGGACGAGGGCATCGCCTATATAAGGTGGGGTGATTGTGACACACCTAGTTTAGTCCCGCATTGGTGGGAGAGTGAGTGAAAAATTAAGGTGTTTATATAGTGAAAGCCTAAGACTAAAGTATAACATCGATTAGGCGATTTCGGCAGTGGATTGAGTCAAACAACGCGTTAAACTCTGTGGGTCACACAGCTTGCACACGCCCGCGGGCCATGATCCACACTTGTACCCGTATATATGCTTGAAACAGGAATGGGAGGACATGGATGGATGACTATTTTGCATGCGTATGCATGTGTGTATGTATCCTATACATCAAAATCCATAGTGAATAGGACATTCAGAAGCAGAAAGAAAACAAAATAATGCCTAGAGATTAAATACAGGTTTTTAACCAAGCAAACCAGAAACGGTTGAGAAGTCTTGTTCAATGCCTCATCTTAGGTGCTAAATGCTAATCGAAGTCCATGTAGTCCTCTTAGGTGCTAAATGCTAATCGAAGTCCATGTAGTCCATCACATGTTAGCGAAATTTTTAGATTTTGTTTAGATGATGTCCTTGTGTTTGAAGGATTTTTATATGTTTGTATTGAGAGGCACATGGCTTCATAGTTTCAACATGCAATCTTTAGAATCTTCAAAGCCATTATAACACTGAGAGGCATTTTTAGGTTTCTTTAAACTGAAATGAATCTGAACTGTCTATTATGTGTAAGGCAAGTGTGGGAAGACTCAATTTTAAGTGCCCTTCTTTCACAGGTAGCTAGGCAGGGGAAGATGTACTGTTGAGAGTTAAGGGACGATGGATATTGCAATGGTCGTATTTGAAGGCTTTCATACTGATTTAGTTGGTGATTTATTACATAGGATACTACTCTTGGAAGTTCACGATAATTCATATGGGACAATATGTATGTATATATACGTATGTATATGCATATATGTATATATATGTATATACATACATATATATACATACATATGTATGTATATACATATATGTATATATATAGAGATTATGTATGTATATAGATACATACATATGTATGTATGTATATGTATATATGTATCTATATATACATACATATACATACGTATGTATCTACATACATACATATGTATGTATATATATACATACATACATAGACATAGGTATGTATGTATATATTTACATCTCTCTCTCTCTCTCTCTCTCTCTCTCTATATATATATATATATATATATATATATATATATATATACAGTATGATATATACATACATACGTTATATATATATACATACGATACATATACATGTGATATATATATAGCTAGGTAGTATATACTTTTTTTTTATTATATAATATGGATAGTATATATAATCAATATTATATTTATAATAGTATAAAGTAAGACTCATATCAACTTAAGTTGATGTTCCACCAACTTTCCTAGTCCACGTCATTTATTCAATTATAAAAAACCCTTTTCATATCATGCAAGCGCATCCCTAGGCAATATTGGGGGAGCTGGCTAAAAAGTTTTGGCTGGACAGATTTTTGTTCCTATCCCTTAAGTGACACAAGTTTTGCCTCTCTCTCTCTCTCTCTTCTCTTAAATATAATATAGGTATATAGACACACACACACACACACAACACACACACACACACACACAAAGAGGCTATTTGAACACTGTTGGCATCCGTATCCGAGCCTTCCACTTGGCATGGTGTAGGTATTTTGTTATCTTGTTGTTTCAACATCTGTGTATTTTATTCTTGATTTAATTTAATGTATTCATCTAGCTGTCCCATTGTCCCAAAATAAGAGAAAAAGTCCCTACCCTCGAAGGGATGGTGCTCGTATCTGGTTTGCACTGATTTCATCTTGGCTAACGACACATTGATGCTACCTGATATTGATCGGGTCAATGATGTAAACGTAACCTGACCAATCATAATTAGGTAATCTGTAACCAGTAACTTGAATTTGACAAGTATGTGATAGTCGTAAAGAAGTCAAGGAAGTTTATTTTCTATTCATGACCCTCAAGAGTAATAGGATCAATCTCCTTTTTCTTCATAGATTGCTTGAATATTCCCAAGAAAATAAATACCTCTTACTTCCTCCAATAGGCTAGACTATTAGAAATAAACCGTGTTTATGTCATGAATGGGAACCTCCACGTGATAAAATCATCAGCCTACAGTAATACAGCCATGTCAGAAATTCATTATCTTAATGAAATAGAGCAGTTGAGTTTGCTGAATTGAAAGAACAAACTCACACAGGGAAAACATCTTTGTAGAACCATTGAGATTAAAGATAGAAGTAAAGGTTGGAAACTGTACAAGGCATACCCAGTTTCTTGGTATGAGATAATTTGTACATAAATGCCAACTTGGTTTGGAGCTGCTTAAAGTTCAGTAAGCAGCATCTAAGTGAAATCCTGTGTTATTTCTATTTGAAATATAATGATATTATTCGTATAGGACAAAATCATATTTTCAGTCTAGATTTCAGTTTAAAGGTTCAGAAGATTCGTGCTATTTTAAACCAAGTCACGCTGACCTATGCTCTTATTTGCTGCAACAGACCCTGAGGGTAAGTATGAAGCTTTAGAGAAATATGGAAAGGATCTGACAGCTATGGCACGCGCGGGGAAGCTTGATCCAGTTATTGGGAGGGATGATGAAATACGCAGATGCATACAAATCTTGTCAAGGAGAACAAAGAACAATCCTGTCTTAATTGGTGAGCCTGGTGTTGGGAAAACTGCTATATCTGAGGGGTAAGTGAGAGATATTTTTTTCTTTCTTTCGTTCTTTCTTAATTCTTCTTATACCAGATCCAGAAAAATATCTTCTGCATGGGTATTTTTACAGTTTATCCTATCATTAGTATCTTTCTTTTTTTGACAGGCTTGCCCAAAGAATAGTGCAAGGGGATGTACCGGAAGCTTTGATGAACCGCAGGGTACTGATAAGTAACTCCAAGAAATTTTATTATGTTTCTTAAGCATCAAAGCTTTGTTTATTATTATGCTTAATATTGTTGTGATGTCCACTTGAGGTTTTGTGATAACTAATTTGCCCAACAGTGTAGGTACTAATCACTTAATAGGTATATTACTACAAATGGCTCTACACCTAACCATTCAAATAATCTTTTATGGTCAGAAATCAGCATTTATTTTCTTTCCTTTGGAAGCTTTGTTTGATATTCTGAATGTCCATGGATATGGTGATTACACTTGTGATGTAGAGATGATGATCGGAAATCAGCATTTATTTTGTTTCCTTTGGAAGCTTTGTTTTGTATTCTGACTGTCCGTAGATTTGGTGGTTGATGTAGAGATGTAGTTATCACTGTCAGTAGAAATGTAGTTTTGGCTTGGAAAACTATCTTTGGGGCAGAAGCTTCTTATAAGCTGGCTGAGGCATCTTAAAATTGAATGCCTAGGACCCTAGACTCCTTTATTCCCAATTCCTTACTGAACCATCTGAGATTTGTATGTGTTTCTCTTGTTATCATAACCCTGATATCTGAGTGGATTATTTTCCTAAGAGCATTAGTCAAGAAGATTTATTTCTTAAAACTGGATTTATTGATGATAATTAACTTTTGCTTCTCATCGAGCCATTTCCAGAACCAGTGCTTTGAAAGATGTTATAGTGAGTCTTGACAGGATCTTGCTTCCTTATCAAGTTGATGAGGAATATCAGAATGTCATTAAAAAATAAAAATAAATAATCTTAACTCTTATATGAGATCAACGACAGCATCATAGCTTCAGCCCAAATTTTGGGATCATATACATTAATCCTTTTATGGTATTTATAATTATGGGAGTTCGGGTTGCTTGTTTAATGCTAGGCTTAATTGCACTTAAATACCCTATAGTTTCTCTACTTAGCATTTATATGCCCTCACTCGTTTTTAACTGCTAGCATTTATATGCCCTCACTCGTTTTTTACAGCAGTTATATGCCCTAAAGTTTTTAAAATTTGCAATTAAATACTCTCATTTAGGCAAGTGCGAGAATTTTTTCCCCGAAAATCCTCGTGCAACACTCACATGTTAAATTTTAGAACTTTTGACCCTTGTTATTTTTGTTAAAATTACTGTTAAGACTAATGTAATCTATTTTAAACCTATCCTAATTCTATTTTAAAGTAGGATTTTGATAGCTTTAGTAATTTTAACAAATATTAAGAGTTAAAAAATGTTTAAAAAAGTAGAAGTGTAAGGTGAAGTGGTAAGACCCTTTAATGAAGCAAAGCATAAGCTTCAAAGCATGAGGCGTAAGCCTCATGAGTTTAAGCATTTTAATTTTAAAATTTGTAAAAATTATTTACATAGTGGCACTTTAATGTTAGTCAAAAATCCTTTTATATTCTCGTATCTTGTCTAAAGTGTGCGCTTCAAAAGCGCTTTATGAAACGCGAAGCACACATTTTCGTTATGCTTTAAGCGATAAGGCGTAGGCTTCAAGAGATAAATAGCTTCACTCTTGGGCTTTGAAGCGTTTACCCTTCAAAATGTTTTGAAGCAAGTTTCGAAGCGAGCTTCAAAAAAGCTTTTCCAAACATTGATTAAAATATTCTAAAATTAGCATGTGACTATCCTAACGAGAACTTTCGACAGGAAATTCTCATGTTTGCATTACTGAGGGTGTTAAAAGGCAAAATTGAAAAACTTTAGTTTAGGGCATATAAGTGCTACCAAAAACAAGTTAGGGTATATAAGTGCAAAGTGAAAGTATAGGGTATATAAATGCAATTAAGTGTTAATTCTATTAGGCATTCAAAAGTTGTGTGCTTGGCTTATGGGGTTATAAATCTATCATTTGTCTGGAGAGAGGGAGAGAAAAAGTATGCATGTATACTTGTGCAGTCTGTTTGACAGTGTTTGCTCGTTCTTTTCCTTATATTAGGAGGGGGTTTCTCCTGGTGGGAAAATGTTTTATTATTTTTTTTTTTGGGGTAGGGTGGGTATTGTTGAATAAAAGAATTTCTGTTATTATACCAGCACATATCACAGAGGGAAGATTTGGTTGAAAATATATTTTTATCTCAAAAAGTAGTTTTAGTCTTTTGGCCTTATTTCTTAACCTTCATTTCATTTGATTTTGTTTTCTAGAACGATTCTAATGTCTCAGTTTATCTGTATACAGTTGATTTCACTTGACATGGGTGCCCTAATTGCTGGGGCTAAATTTCGTGGTGAATTTGAAGACAGGCTGAAAGCTGTTTTAAAGGAAGTGACTGACTCAGATGGGCAAATAATCCTTTTCATTGATGAGATCCATACTGTTGTTGGGGCAGGTATATCCTTCTACCTTGAAGGCGACCATCATATGCAGGTTTTCTTTGGGGAAAAGAACACTTCATTACTTCTCAACATGTTTTAGTGTTTCGTTGTCATATTTATTAAATCAACTTATATATGTAAATAATCATTAGCGGAAGATAATCTGGTGGCAAACTGATTATACATTAAAAAGCAAAAAAATGTTAATGAATAAAAACTGATTGTTGGGTAATTCTCAAATGTCAGTAAGTTGGGTCATAATTGAATTGCTCTTATCATAATTTGTAATAAATGGACATAGAATTCACTAATTCAGTATGTCATTGGATTTAATCTAGTCAGTGTTACAGACTTACAGTTACTGACAATTTGGACTTGGTTGAGAATATATGCATTGTAAATTATTATCAACACAGTAATAAACACTTTCTCTCTCTCACACACAAAATGCAGATTTTTCAGTCAAATGATTATAAATGTAGACTTTTTTGGCTATCATCTTCACCCCTACTCATAGGCTGCTCATGGATCTTGCTTATACATTTGGCAAGGTTGGGAAAGTGTTAGGCGGCCTAGGTGTTGAACCCGACGCCTAGAGTCTAGGAGACTAGGCGGAAGCGTAGGCAGGGCCTAGACGTTTTTCTATTTTTTAGTTTTTAATTATAATTACTGATAGTAAATGCCAATGTTATAGAAAGCTTAGGCGCTAGACTGACATCTAGGTAGATTTTTTAAGTGGTGGAGGATGTTTTTTTTTTTAAGGTCGAAAGAGGTAGAAGAGGTGTTCAAGGTTAGAGTTTGGAGGAGGTCGGAGGACGTGAAGGCTGTAATGGAGGAAATCATGATCAATGCCTAAAGGGTATAGTCCATGTAGGCAGACCATGCTAGGTGCTTTTAAAATATAGGTACTTAGGTAGGCAGCCTACATATCATCTAGGCGCTATGTAGACAACCAAGGTACCGCCTAGGCCTAGGCGTACGTCTAGGCGGGAGAGGCGGAGCCTTTTTAAAACATTGGCATGTTGATGCAGTTGTTCCTACTTCATAAACTCTAGCTGTCAACGGACAATAAGTGATGTGCTTGTATTGTTTCTTGTTGCCTCTTGAGTAGACATTCATCCCACTGTTGATTGGTCCATCTTCTTTTCTTAAAAGTTCTTGATTTGTATCTGGTTCACCTTCCCAACTGGTTCTTCTCTTGCCCATGTTGCAGAATGATGAGAAAACATGGTTCATTTTGTAAGATCTAAGGAGATTTGAATTCTTAGAGTCTCTAAGTTACATGATTTGATACTTTCATACAAGTGTTGCATGATTTCATTAAATTCTATAGGATACTTGTTAGACTTAAAAGGAAAATTCTATAGATAGTTATAAGACAAACAATGTTTTATGGATCAAAATATTGGGCAATTAAAAAAATAATATGTGCAAAAAATGAGTGTAGTAGCAATGAGAATGTTGAGATGGTATTGTGGGTATACACTAAAAGATAGGATAAAAAATGAGTGCATCCGTAATAAATTAGAGGATAAAATGAGAAAGAATCAATTAAGGTGGTATAACCATATACAACGTAGACCTCTTAATGCACCGGTTAGGAGAAGTGATAATATTATAGTTAATGGAGCAAAAAAATCTAGAGGTAAACCTTGAAGGACTTGGTCGGGAGTAATTTAGAAGGATAAGGTTATGGTTAGCTTAACAGAGTGGATGACCAATAATTGAACGAAATGGAAGAATATGATTTATGTAGCCGACCTCAAACACTTGGGATAGAGGCTTTGTTGCTGTTGTTTTTGTATAATTTCATCAAACTTCTCTCCGTCTTTAATAAGTGCATGATACATGTAATTTGATGCTAATACACCCTAAAAGTACATGCAAAATTCTAGGGTTTGTGCTTGATCAGTAGTGATGGGTCGATGTTGTGGGCATTGGGGGCACGTGCCCCCACACATGTAAAATCTTTGAGGAATTTTTTACAACTCTAGGAAGTGGCCCTATAGATAATTGGCTGGTGCCCACAAGACTCAATGTCCAATCCAGTGCAGTGAATCTAAGTGTTTATTAAACCGGCCCAAGCCCAAACTTGTTCCAACTAAATCCCATCTTTCTTCATTTTCAGTTCATCATCAGAGTCTTTTCGTATCCCCTCTTCACCGTTCGCAGTCTCACCTCTTCTCTTCCGCTGCTTGCCTCCCTCAACCTCTTCCACATCTATTCTCTAGCATTAAGGCTTCCCTCTCCGTCTTCAATTCAAGTCTTCAATTTTTCAAAGAATCTCCAAACGTCGCACCTTGCGCCATCAATTTTCTGCTCAATTGAGCGTTTTCAACTTTCCTTGCCTTGTGTCGCCGTCGAGGAGGACTTCTCCCAGTTTCCTGGATTTCATTGGCTCTTCTCTGACATCCACCGCTGTTGAAGGTGACACTGTGGGTATTTTCTGAATTTTATGATTTTATCTATAAATTACTATCAATTTAAAGAAAATCTTCAGAAATTGATTAGTTAAAAATACTATATTAACTTTTGTTGTTGTTTATAAGTCAAACTTACAGAAAATAGAAATTTTCATGGTTAATTATAATTCAGCAAAATCAGTGATTTGTTGAACTGAACCAAATAATTTAACACATGAGTTTCAGTTTATATGCATAACTGAATGTGTGCCCTCATTGGAAAAAAGTTCTGGACCTGTCCCTGCTGATCTGTGTCTTTACATTCCAATGTCAGGTGCCACAAATGGTGCGATGGATGCAGGCAATTTACTCAAACCAATGCTTGGTCGGGGAGAGTTGCGCTGTATTGGAGCAACAACTCTTGATGAGTATCGCAAATATATCGAGAAAGACCCAGCCCTGGAACGCCGTTTCCAGCAAGTTTATGTTGACCAACCTACAGTTGAAGACACAATCTCTATACTTCGTGGATTGCGTGAGAGATACGAGCTCCATCATGGGGTCCGCATTTCGGACGGTGCACTTGTGGAGGCTGCAATTCTTTCAGATCGTTATATCAGTGGGCGGTTTTTGCCCGATAAAGGTATCTCGAAGGTTCTTGTTGCACATGAACATTAAATTTTAAAGATGTCCTTTCATCTGTGAACTTTCTAATAAGTTGCTGACTGCCTTTTCTTTTTTCCTTGCACACAGCTATTGATTTAGTTGATGAAGCAGCTGCCAAATTAAAAATGGAGATCACATCGAAGCCAACTGCTTTGGATGAGATTAATCGCTCAGTATTGAAGCTAGAGATGGAACGTCTATCTCTAACTAATGATACGGACAAAGCTTCAAAGGATAGATTGAGTCGTCTTGAGGCAGAGTTGTCGCTTTTGAAGGAGAAACAAGCAGAACTTACTGAGCAGTGGGAACACGAGAAATCAGTAATGACACGTATTCAGTCCATCAAAGAAGAGGTACTGTGATCTCAGTAGTAAATGAGAAACTTTGTCACTAGACAATTAGGAGGCTTCTAGGTTGCAGTTGACTAGAACTCATCTTTAACTCACACTGATACAATGAAAAGTTTGAAGAAAATTAATAATGACATCATGAACTGAAGTAATTTGAAGATTTGTATCTTAGTTTTCTTTTCTAAGTAGAGAAATCTGAAAACTTAGGTCACTATTCCGTGAAACCAATTAATGATTGTTCTATGGTGACCTTCTGTGCAGGGGTGTGACTTCTCTTTTAGAGGAGTGTCGGCTATGAAGTATGGACACAAATATTGTACTGATATGATACAATATAGACATGGAAGTGTGACAAATTTTTAAAAACTAAGACACATGGCATGAACATGGAATAAATCATTATTTGTATGTAGAAATATAAAAGTCACATCACTACACTGATACATATATGGTATAATACAGTTGCATGGGTAAGGCAAATACTAAAATTTAGTACACTAGTAAATTGATTAAATTATGCATTAGTATTCAGTGCACAAATTCGTGTGTGCCGGCCTTGGACAGTATGACAAAATTTTGAAGTCCTTTAAATTATAAATGAAAAATCTTGGTAGTTCTTTAAGTTATGATTTACATGATCAATCATACTCTTTAATGAGAAGTTTAGCAAATGATTTAATTTAAAATTGAATAAATGATTTAAATGCAAACATCTTTAAATCAAAGAGAGGTACATACTCATCTATATCTTTGATTACGTCTTGCAATGCCTACGAGTCTACGACATGTCCTCCATATGTCTGAGATACATTGTAAATTTTGGGATGTCAAAAAAAGTATCTTCCACATATTGGAAAAATTTCCGATGCGTGCAGCTCTCCTTCTTTGTGCCATCCAATGTTGTATGGTTATTAGAGAATGGACAGGATTTTCCAAATACTTTTTCCGAAGGGCATCGTTAGTGACCGTTTGCTTGAGGTGTTAGATTAAGGTTGAGTTAGGGGAAAATGCATCGTTGGCAATAACCTATGTTACCTGGGTACTTCTAATATGGTGCTTCTAATATGGAGCCGTCCCTATACCTAACACGTGTCTTCCCAGTACCCGACACTTCTTGGAAACTTCTTAAATATATGCATATATTTATTCAGATCTTTACTTAATTATACAATGTATGCTTAATTTAAAACACTTGTATACACTTCCTTGGATATATATCCTACACTACACATCCATTTTTGTAACGTGTTGGGTAAGGGTCAGGGTCGTTTCAGCCTTAAGAGCTATGGTTTAAAAGGTTTGTTTACATATATAACTTAGAAGGTAGAACTACAATTATATCGCATGATTTTCATTCATGTCCCCATACCCTACCTTTTACAAATTTACCGTGTCCCCTACCTATACCCACACCCGTATCCGTGCAACTTAGGTTCCCCCCCCACCCCACCCCAAAACCCAAAAAAAAAAGAGAAGAAAGAAGAAGACACATGCACAGAATGAAAGAAAAAAACACACGCACCGAAAGTCTTCCTCCCTCCCTCCCACAACTCTATTTGCCTCCTCAGTGGTGATTGGTGTTGAATCCAACTAGTGCTGAATATTTTTTCTATTTTTTGTTGTCATAACTACTACTATTTATTTCTGACTGTGCTTATCATCTTGCTCTAGATTGATAGGGTGAACCTAGAAATTCAGCAAGCTGAGCGTGAATATGATCTGAATCGGGCTGCTGAATTGAAATATGGAAGCCTTAATACGTTGCATCGTCAACTGAAAGATGCCGAAAAGGAGTTAATAGAGTACCAAAGTTCAGGGAAGTCGATGCTCAGGGAAGAGGTCACTGGGAGTGACATTGCAGAGATAGTCAGCAAATGGACAGGTATTCCAGTTTCCAAGTTGCAGCAATCAGAAAGAGAGAAGCTACTACATTTGGAAGAAGAACTCCACAAGCGTGTTGTAGGCCAAGATCCAGCTGTGAGGGCAGTGGCAGAGGCCATTCAGCGGTCACGTGCTGGCCTCTCTGATCCACACCGTCCGATTGCAAGTTTCATGTTCATGGGTCCCACCGGTGTTGGTAAGACTGAACTGGCCAAAGCCCTTGCTTCTTATATGTTCAACACGGAAGAGGCTCTTGTGAGGATTGACATGAGTGAGTACATGGAAAAGCACGCTGTCTCGAGATTGATAGGGGCCCCACCAGGTTATGTTGGATATGAAGAAGGTGGACAATTGACTGAGATAGTCCGCAGGAGACCTTATGCTGTCATATTGTTCGATGAGATTGAGAAAGCTCATTCCGATGTGTTCAATGTTTTCCTCCAGATACTTGATGATGGGAGAGTGACAGATTCACAAGGCCGCACTGTGAGCTTTACAAATTCAGTCATCATCATGACTTCTAATGTGGGATCTCAGTATATATTAAATATGAACGATGAATCTGTCTCGAAGGATTCTGCTTATGACGCTATTAGGGACAGGGTGATGGAAGCTGCAAGAGCCATTTTCCGCCCAGAGTTTATGAATCGAGTTGATGAATATATTGTTTTCCAGCCTCTTGATCGTGAGCAAATAAACAGTATTGTCAGACTACAGGTATGGATTATTGAAGTTCCTAGTGCTGAATCCATTTTTTACCATAGGTGATTTCATTCGGATAAGATGTCTTATGAAGGAAGAACCACTAAAGATTCACTGTAAATCTGAGATAAACATAGCACCACCCTCCACTGCAAACACTAAAGAGGTTACCCTTTAGATAATTTGTAACTCACTCGACAAATACTGGATGTATCAGGGTTGGTGGGTTAAGCCTCTTATTATTCTTGTTTGTTGGAACTGTGGGGAAAACCTGGCTTGTCTACCGTACAGTTGTGCTTTCATCCTTTTGGTCCTTTCATCCTTTGGTCCTTAGGAAAGAAACTACATAGTTACTTATCATAATTATGCTTTTAGATATTAAATAGATCTATTATACTTTGCTTGCCAATAACTGGTTAATTGCAATTAAAATATGTGTTCCTAAAATGTTGGGGGCAGCAAAGATACACAATCTACACATGCATTTAAATCTTTTGGCTTTTTCTATAGATCCCCTTTTATTCAGCAGCTTGCCCACATTCCATACAGCACCAAACCAAGTTTAAGTTTAATCTTTTAAGTCAGCAGCCTTCATTGCTTCTTTGCCGTCCTGCCATTTTGGTTTTCCCCCTTATCGTGGTATGCCCTGTGGTGCTGCATCAGATAACATCCTATTTTCCTAACTGGCACACTGGAAGTGTTCTCTGGTACTTCTTTAAACCATCTCTAACTGATTTCCCTCAGTTGATTCTACTGCTTGTATTGATTGTGTGCACTTGTTCTATCTGTTCTTGAGTTATGTTTGTCTATGCCAAGCATTCTTATTTCAACTATGCTAACTTTTGAATATATTCCTTGTTTTTTCAATTTTTAAAGGATGTAATCTAAAGCATGAGTCTTGTCGCAGTCTTCTTGAAGTATCCCTTCATGTTTTTAGGTAATTTGTCATCTCGTAAAATCAGAAAAGTACATTTCCATGATCCAACTCCAGTTAAGGTACAACATCAAATCTCCCACTAAGAGCGGAAGTTGCTACTAAACAAAGAATCTGATCACCATTGTCTCCTGACATCAGTCATCTTAGCACACTTACTTACCAGTCGTCTTATTGAAGTTGCATTTGAACATCTTTATCCATCTTACTAGCTCCTAATTTTAATTCCTCTTTGACTGGTGCTTCCTCTGTTTTCTGTCTTTCCATTATCTAGTGGTCAATTAAGAGAACACTATGGGAGCTAAATATTCACCAAAGGCTTCATACTCTTTCTAGTTGATCTCACGTGTTATAATTACCAATATGGTGAGAAAATACTTTGTTTCTTTTTTAGTATCTGTCGTAGAGTTTGTCTATTTTTCTGTAAATTGGGATAACCATGTTCAACATACTGCCTAGACCTTGGTGAATAGTTCCCGTGCTGTAAACCCCAGCTGAAGACCTAATTCAACATTGTTATCTTTTCACCCTCTTCTTGAAAACCATCTTACACAAAAATATAACATTTGAACTAGTATGTCTCCAAAACTTGTGTGCATGTACCTTTTTATGTGTATTTGTGGAGTTTTTTTTTTCGGTGTGTCGACATTGACACATGCTCGTATCTTGTGTGACAGCTGGAGCGTGTTCAACG